AACTACCATGAACTTCGTAGTACTTCATAGAGACTCCATTTTCGAGATTTTTGAAAGAAAATTGGAAAATCTTAAAATTAAACACGCTTTATAAATAATTAGAAAGGAATCTGTACACATTTGAGATAAAACACTTTTCAATGTCTAACACACTGTGTTCAACAATTACTGGTAACTTACCCATTTCCAATAAAAGAAATTTAATTTATTTATTAAAAGGTCACTTAAATTTCTATAAATCACCTCATCTATTGTGAAATAGAAACAATTTTATAGAAAGAAATAATCCTTTTAACTTCCCGTAATTAACTCCAGATAAAATTTCAATTACCTGTATGGGTACATTTTATTTCCCAATTTCAGACTAAAAGGAAACTTAAAATAAATTTACTGAATTTTTCAAGTCTAACATTAATTGGAAATAAAAGAAATGCTTCAGGTCACCTCTAACATTTACGACTTCTCTGGTGCCTGCTTGCTTCTATTGACCAGGGATGGGTCTGTTTGACAAAGTGTTAAGGGGGATCACACAAGGACCTCCAATGATGTTCCGCCTTTATCTCCCCTTCTGATCACACCCCCAGGTATCATCTTACACACAACCCAGGTTTTCTGACTTAAAGTGTTATTGAATAAATCATATTGATTTTCTTAGTCAAATTTCTTCGTCAAGTTATGCCGTTTTTCTTTTTCTTTTTTAACTTCACTCTTAAGTCAAAGTTTGTTAAACTAGTAAAACACAGGTGAGTGATAAGTGCAGTAATGGTGAATTAAGACATGGATATCAATTAGACAGGAAGTGACTGCTGTTTCTACTCTACCTGTTAAGAACACCAGTCATTTAAAATTTTCTGATTACAGGTGAGATTTGTGTAATAAAAAAATCCCTAATTATCTTCCCTCAGGATACTCAATCTGGATGCTTTTGACACGTTGAGACATCAACACTTGATCATGAAAACACTTGAGAGACTTAGTTCTTCCGAGTTTACACAAGGTCCAGCCCTGAACAGGGTCAAGAGCAACAAGCTTCCTTGAAGACTCCTAATAATCCATACTTGGAAAGATTTAAGCCTGACAAACTCCGACAAAGCTTTATAATCATCCAATATTCTGGTGCCTTTGTTAAACATATTACAACTTGTTTTCTATTGTAGGACTTCATTTTCATCTGATCACAATCAAAACATACTGTTATAGTATTAAATACTAATGTCAGACAACACAATTTCATCCCTTTGAATTTTCTGCACGGAATCTCTAATCTTTAATCAAGTGTTCAGAACAAATTTTAAAACTTGGTATATTTTTCTGTATGAATGTGTTAGAACATTCAGATAATCTTTGGTATGTATATTAGCTGACAATTACTAATTTGTTTTAGAAGAGAACACACAACCTAGTATAGTAACAGTTTTAAAACATAAAATACATTTGATAGAGATAAACGATAAATCTGGTCTCTGTTGTATTGGCACAATCCACAAAAACCATACCAAATGCTGATGTTGCAACTAATTTTTGTTACTTCTAGAAAAAAGTTTCCAAGGTTAAGATTCAAGGTTACCTGTAAATACTCTACAGAAATATATTTGACAACAACACAACAACACACTTAACACTTAGCATTTTCTCTAGTCTGTACACCACTGGATATCATTACTTTGTGATGATGCGGAGGCTGGACACATTTTTTTTATTATTATGTACAAGGATTGGCTACACTGATCAGTATATGCACTAAACATTCACATCTGAATGGTTCTTTTTAAAGCTAAATGCTTCAATATCAGTATAAACTATTACACTGTACTCACAAATTAAAAAATCTAAAACCTCATGTACATTGTATCTAGCTTATCTCTATAATATTCCAAAGATATAACTTACTTCATTATAAAGTAGACATGTAACTAGGTCAGCTCTCGAGTTTGATTAACGTCTAAACCTATACTAATTATGTTTCATTAATGTTTGAGATGATGACACAGATATTTCAAAGGAGTATGGTATTATGAAAATGACAGAAAAAGCAGAGAAGTTATTTTAAGAATTTTATTTTGGGACAATTGCAGTATATTTTTAATATAGTGATGATTGAGAAGGCAATGAAAATGGTGTTTTTTTTTTTTTTTTTCTCAACAAATACACTTTACCTTAGGAAAAACTCTTACAATAATTATCTTGATTTATCTAATTTATAAGGCTGTCAATTACGAACAGATAATATTCACTACAAGGCTACAAGTAATAAAAGTTAAAATACTTTCTTGTAGGTCAAGGTAACTTCTTTTTCACAAACTTTACCAGGTTTTACTCCAGAATCTTAACAGCAAATGAAGATTCTTGACCTAAATGACCAATAAGCCAAAAATAGATCTTAGATTTTATCTTTTGTTAAAGGTTTATCCACTTATGGAACCTAGTCAACAAATTTCATGATTCATCAGACATTGCTCAAACTTTTTAATAAATTTGGCACCTGTGACCTTGGACATTTGTCAAGGTCATTTAGTTTTCATAAACTGTCAAGTTTTATCAAAGAAACCAATAATTCAAACATCATGAACTTATACCAACTGGTACTACAGGAGAAGATTTTTAAAGAAAAATTGACACTTTGGGCAAGGGGAGCTGAACCAGTTCTAATCCAAAAAGTCTTAGTCGCTGGAAATAACGTAATATCATTCCCTAATGTGTAGACTTTCTCGTTACTGGTCAGTGGTGATAGTGGCAGTAGGCGAGCCTATCTCAAATAAGAACATCAATCAAATGTACCTATTACTGGCAGTCTTCAACTACGTCAATGCAGAGATCTTTATATAGATAAACTGCCACATCGTAATTCTCATATCAAAGTTTGTAGCTGATACGATTCCTTTTGTAATTCAAAAATAAAGAATTCTCCATAGTGCCCACACAGCAACTTTACAACAGTGCAGACTGCATGTGCAAAGGAATGTTTGTTGGCAAGTAAAAATACTGTTTACATCAACCAGCCAAATATAAGAACAGCAACATTCCTACGTACAATTCTATTCTTTATGTCATTACACATAAATCCTTGCACTGAGATGTTTTTAATTGTACTGATAATTGTATACCCATATATGGAGCTGACAGTTATTACAACAAAGCAACTGCTAGGCAAACAAACCATTTGTAAATTTTATGAAAAATAAAATGTATGCATGTGAAAATCAAACTATTTTTCTGTAACCAATATTCTGTCAAAATATGGATATAGACAAATGTAATTTACATTTCAGTTCATATACTGAACAAAATAAGTTAAGGATCATAAACTTGAAACAGTGCAGTTTTACATACAAATAATAATATGATTATATTTTAAATTTTAATGACAGAACATTCATTTTAGTCTTTAATTACACAAAACAAATTCATTTGTGGTAATTGCTACCAAGAGCAGATAACCCTGAGTAACAGCACCCTTGAAATCAAAGTGTAAGAGGAAGTAGAGCAAGTTAATCATGTAGACAAGGAAAACTCATCAAACTGCAATTGGCAGTTTAATAGGCAGTATGACCTCCGTTGACATCAATAACTGCCCTGCAACGTCTGCACATGCTCCTTATTAGTCGTCGGTGGCTGATCTGTGGGATGCGCTGCCATTCCTCTTGCAGAGCAATCATAAGCTGTTGGCGGTTCTGTGGCGGATTAGGTCGAGCTGAAACCCGGCGTTGCAAGGTGTCCCAAGCATGCTCGATAGGGTTCAGATCAGGAGAACGACTTGGCCAGTCCATGCGAACGATTGCTTCACGTTGAAGATAGTCGTTGACCACACGAGCACGGTGAGGACGAGCATTATCATCCATCAGAATAAAATCATGGCCAACAACTCCTGCAATGGGCCTTACTATAGGGTGTAGAATCTCGTCCCTGTATCGAACAGCTGTTAAAGATCCATTGTCTATGATGTAGAGGTCTGTATGGAAGTCAACACTGATCCCTGCCCAAACCATCACTGACCCACCACCAAAGCGATCATGCTGGACAACATAGCAGTCTGCATAGCGCTCTCCTTGGGTTCTCCATACCCTCCTCCTACCGTCATGGAAGTCAACACAAAACCTAGACTCATCTGTGAACATAACATTTCTCCAATGACGTAATTGCCAATTCAAATGATGAGTGGCCCATTGATGTCTGGATTGTCGATGACCTCTGGATAAAATTGGTCGGACTGCTGGTCTTCTAGCTCGTAAATTAGAGGCATGGAGTCTGTTTCTGATTGTCTGGGATGAAATCCTTAGATTTGTAGCACGCTGAAACTGAAGATTCAAGACAGGAGCACTCAAAAACCGCTGACGTCGTGCCGTGATGCAAATGAATCTGTCCTGTCGGGCTGTCGTACAGCGTGGTCGTCCAGATCTGGGGCGTTGACGGACGTTATTTGTCTGTTGATAGCGATTCCATAGCCTACTAATCACGCTCTGAGAAACATGAAGCTGTGCCGCCACATTTCGTTGAGTTTGACCAGCTTGAAGGAGTCCTATAGCTCGCGCGGCTTCCATATCATTTAAATGTCTTCGCATGATTAGTTTTTCAAGTTTTCGTTACAAATTGATTAAATGTTTCCAAATTCAACTTTTTTTAGCTTAGAAGTAACAGAATCAAAACCTGCAAGATTCCTCTGTAGTAATAGACCAGTCAGTTTTTCACACCACCATAGTTAACTAGAGCGGAACGGCAAGACCTTCAGATGCACGTGCTTTCACCTTTGACATGACTTTAGGTACATATTGGAGAAACTACGAGTGCAATTACCGGCAATACATGATTTGAATTTTTAAAGATATTATGGTCACAATTTATGATCCTTAACTTATTTTGTCCAGTATATATGGATTGACATGCACTGCTAATCCTCTCTTAAAAAGGATATAGCACAAGGGAGGTAACTCCTACAGATTGGGAAATGTCATACATCAATGTTTAACAAACACTGTCACCTTGTTAAAATACCATCAACTTACATTTTTCTGAAGAGTTCCCGGTACTGGTTGTCTCCCTTACTACAGGTTGTGATAAAAACATCCAGTTTCTCTATCATTTCATTTTCCACCTACAAAACAAGAAAGAGAAAATACATCAGCAGAGACACAGTGTTTATATAGTCCTTCTTAATCTCTGGCCTTCGTCATGGAGAAAACACAGAATTAATGAACAAATTTAAATCACTGTAACTTTCAACTGACCAAGAGGAAGTTTCCGTTAATCCTCTGTTCACATTTCATCATGTCAAAGAAGATTGGCAGCGTGGCAGACCTCAGTTCATTTTCTGGTACCAAGGTGACCTCGAGGAGTGGACCAATCAGAGATGGTATGAAGTGACGTTGATTGTTTCCTAAAACAGAGGTTTTAACATTATCTTTATTAACAGTTACCAAATGCATCAATAGAAAAAAACAAGAGGCCCATGGGCCTTAACGGTCATCTGACATAAAATACAAGATTTCAAATTTTGAACTTGAGAAGAAGTCGAAAATGAGTTTTCAAGATGGCGGCCATGGTGGCCATGTTGGATTTTGGACCAATCCAAAATTAACAAACTTTGGTCAGGATCATGTCACGATCATTTCAGGTAAGTTTCAGTTCAATGAGACACATAGAACTTGAAAAGAAGTTGAAAATGTTTACGAGGGATGACATACGACAGTCGATGGCTGACAAAAGGCGATCGCAATAGGTCATCAGACCCTTCGGTCAGATGACCTAAAAACATTTGAAAGTTACGGGAAGTGAAATAAAATCCGACAAGGTTTACCAAATTATCAACACAATATAGGTATTACTCAACTAGGTCTTATTCTGTTTAACATCAAATTTACTTCTGAAAAATGTGAAAGTAATAAGATGTTACTTTTTTGGTAATTTTACGGTAAAATCTGTAAAGTAGAGTAAATCTTACCCAGTTTTTCCCACAGCGTCTGTATCTGATAGCCCATGGGTACCCGCATGTCTTGATATCTACCATTGTACAAAAGTTCATATTACATAACACATTGTACACAAGCTGGTATGTATTTACTTGGTGGAAACATGATATTATGGGTATTTTCATTTATTAGGGAAAAAAAAATGTTTTGCCCTTTTTTCTCAATAAAAATAAAAAAAACTATTCAAAATCTCTCCTTCCTATGCCAGTTATTACACAGATTTTGTAAAACAAATCTGTGACCTGTCTGAAAAAAACATTCCACAATCTTGAATCACGAAAGGTGTTATAATCAGAAACTCGCCTCTCCTTAGTCTTCTTTCTCTTGGCCTCGGAGTATTTCTCTAGCTGAAGACTTGGCTGGGTGATGAAGGCCACAGATAGGTTAAAGTAGTGCTGCCAAAGCTAAAACAAAGGGGAGATAACCACTGACAATGGAATATCAACTTCTATCAGGGGAGATAATAATCATGAAGAAAGTAAATTTTTTATTGAAGTCATATAAACAAACAAAATATATAAACATAGTGCTGATAAGGGAACACATATATTGTATATTAAAAGTAAAAACTGAAATTCCTGTTGCTAATAAGTTCAGAATTTTAAAAAAGTTTGAAAAAAGAAGTATGAAGGACCAGACTGGGTAAATAATATAAGCTCTACACTTATATACCAGTAAACAGTACTTACACCCAAGTCAAAATCTTCATGATGTAGAAAGTTTTTGGTGAGTGCCTGGGAGAAGTATTCTACTGCTGTAAATATCACGCTGTAAAAGAAACATCAACTCAGGCTTTCAAAAATTTCCTATGCTGAACTTGTTAAAAGTGATGATGACCTCCACCATTAACATTTTATTAAAAAAAATGTTTCAATTTCATATACTTAACTAGAATCTATTTGTTCTTGACTTATATATCTGAAATTGACCTATTTTTCCGGGTGATGTTGACCTTTCATTTTCAGATATATATACCTCTCACCTTGATCTGCAGTATTAACACTAATTGATATCTGCTGCCAATCATTTCAGTCACAGTCTAATTTACTTCTAATTTTTAAGAATAAATTTGCAGTCACCAGGTTCTCTGATTGTGAGACTTATTTGTTTGTGACCTCTGAATTTGAAACTTATCTATTTGTGACCTTGATCTCTGATTTTGAGACTTGCTTGTTGATGACCTTGACCTCAAACTGCAAAATTCATTTGTGACCTTGACATCTAATTTTGAGACTTGTTGGTGACCTTGACTTCTGATTCATATGTGAATTTGTAGGTTATCTATACAAATTCTGATTTATTGGTGACCTTGACCTCTGATTTTGACACTTACTTGTTGGTGAATTTTACTTCTAATTAATTGATGACCTTGACCTCTGATTTTGAGACTTACTTGTTGGTGACTAGCCTCATGACTGTCCATTGTGTAGGGAACACTTCTTGCTTGATCAGCTCTTGGAATGTCAGAAATACTCGCAACAGAAAATCCTGAAAAAAATATAGACCAAACAAAGTCTTAACACATCACACACATTGATGGCGGTCAACTGACACTAAGGACAGCACACTACCAGCATCTAACTGTTTCAATACAATCTTCAATCTGTGCCAACAAAATCGCAGATTTGACTTGATTGTTTAAACAGTTAACTGTTATATAATAAAATAACCACAACTTACATATCATACAACTACTTATAATATAGTTATTATATTAACTCTTTAAAATTTTCGAAGAAAGTTATTTTCATTACTGCAGCAACTACCAGGTACATTTGAAATGCCACACATCTTATACTACAGGTTAAACATCGATCCAACCCGTCTACGTTATATTTACACACCTTGAGGGGTCGCTGTTCTGGAAACATTTTCATCACTGCCTCATAATGATGTTCGTCCATCAAGCGTAGCATGTCAACCAGGCAGGATATCAGCTCCCCCTATAAAAGGGAGACAACTCAAGTTAATCAATACGTCAACAATATTTTCAACTTCAAAGTTTTACAAACGAAAAATATATATTAATACAATTTCTACCTTTAAACATCTCAACAACATGAAGTTACCAGTATTTGAATAACATGAAACAAATGATCATCAAATACAGTAATTCCTAGTGTATAAGATTCCTCACAAAACACATCGTAAGGAACATCAATCACATCTTTGCTTACAAAGGATTATGATCTACAAACTACCAAATTGATAATACAAAACTGAAAAGATTTTCATCAGAATATCATATTATATTTCAAATTTTCTAAATTAAATGTTCTAACTGGTTGTAGTATATAAAATCTATTCAGTCTATGTATATTTCAAGTGGATTTCCATAGCTTTCCATTGTTTTTTCATTAATTGATATTTTATTTTCGTAATTAATTATCTTTTGTAAGAAGGATGTTAAATATAATACAAAATATCACCAATATAAGTATAATCACCCTACCAAGTTCTCATAATGGATGCCATTGATTCTCTATATTTTTTTAAAATGATATCTTTACATTTTAATTTTGGTGAAGTTTCGAAAGTAGATGAGATTTTCTAAGAAAAGTCATGCATGGTCTAGACAGAACTCTTCCTCATTATTTAATAGTTGAATGATGTTGCATTAGATTCATGAAGAGGCATCTGTTTGCTAGTGTGATGAAGGTTATTACAATTAGTTCAATATATATTGGCTATGTTTGCCTCTTTGCCCCGTCATGCCTCATGCCTTTATAGAAGGTGTGCCAGAAACACACTACAGAATCAATCACAAACACTACCAAATTAAACACACACTACCAGATCGACACTCACTACCAGATCGACACTCACTACCAAATCAACACTCACTAACACTCACTACCAAATTAAACACACACTACCAGATCAACACTCACTACCAGATCAACACTCACTACCAAATCAACACTCACTACCAAATCAACACTCACTACCAGATCAACACTCACTACCAAATCAACACTCACTACCAAATCAACACTCACTACCAAATCAACACTCACTACCAAATCAACACTCACTACCAAATCAACACTCACTACCAAATCAACACTCACTACCAAATCAACACTCACTACCAAATCAACACTCACTACCAGATCAACACACACTACCAGATCAACACTCACTACCAAATCAACACTCACTACCAGATCAACACACACTACCAGATCAACACTCACTACCAGATCAACACTCACTACCAAATCAACACTCACTACCAGATTAAACACACACTACCACACGACACGCCCTACCAAATCAACACACACTACCACAACACACACTACCAACACTCACTACAACACTCACTACCAAATCAACACTCACTACCAGATCAACACTCACTACCAGATCAACACTCACTACCAGATCAACACTCACTACCAGATCAACACTCACTACCAAATCAACACTCACTACCAAATCAACACTCACTACCAAATCGACACGCACTACCAAATCAACACTCACTACCAGATCATCACTACCAACACACTCACTACCAAATCAACACTCACTACCAGATCAACACTCACTACCAAATCAACACACACTACCAAATCAACACACACTACCAGATCAACACTCACTACCAGATCAACACTCACTACCAAATCAACACACTACCAAATCAACACTCACTACCAAATCAACACTCACTACCAGATCAACACTCACTACCAGATCAACACTCACTACCAAATCAACACTCACTACCAAATCAACACTCACTACCAAATCAACACTCACTACCAGATCAACACTCACTACCAGATCAACACTCACTACCAAATCAACACACACTACCAAATCAACACTCACTACCAAATCACTACCAAATCAACCAAATCAACACACACTACCACACTCACTACCAGATCAACACTCACTACCAGATCAACACTCACTACCAAATAAACAATCAACACTCACTACCAAATCAACACTCACTACCAAATTAAACACACACTACCAAATCGACACTCACTACCAAATCAACACTCACTACCAAATCAACACTCACTACCAAATCAACACTCACTACCAAATCAACACACACTACCAAATCAACACTCACTACCAAATCAACACTCACTACCAAATCAACACTCACTACCAAATCAACACTCACTACCAAATTAAACACACACTACCAGATCAACACTCACTACCAGATCAACACTCACTACCAAATCAACACTCACTACCAAATCAACACTCACTACCAAATCAACACTCACTACCAAATCAACACTCACTACCAGATCAACACTCACTACCAAATCAACACTCACTACCAAATCAACACTCACTACCAAATCAACACTCACTACCAGATCAACACTCACTACCAAATCAACACTCACTACCAAATCAACACTCACTACCAAAACAACACTCACAACCAGATCAACACACACTACCAAATCAACACTCACTACCACACACACTACCATCAACACTCACTACCACACACACACTACCAGATCAACCATACTACCACACACACTCACTACCAGATCAACACTCACTACCAAATTAAACACACACTACCAAATAAACACTCACTACCAAATCAAACCACACACTACCATATCTACCACACACACTACCACCATATACCAAATCACACACACACAACACTACTACCATATCAACACTCACTACCACACACACCACCATACCATATCTACCACACACACTACCATATCTACCACACACACACTACCATATCTACCACACACACTACCATATCTAACACACACTACCATATCTACCACACACACTACCATATCTACCACACACACCACCATATCTACCACACACACCACCATATCTACCACACACACCACACACACCACCATATCTACCACACACACTACCATATCTACCACACACACCACCATATCTACCACACACACACCCATATCTACCACACACACTACCATATCTACCACACACACTACCATATCTAACACACACACTACCATATCTAACACATACTATCACATCTACCACACACACTACCATATCTACTACACACACTACCATATCTACCACACACACACCACACATCTACCACACACACTACCACACACACACCACTACACACACACTACATATCTACCACACACACACCATATCTACACACACACACTACACACACTACCATATCTACCTCACACACTACCATATCTCTCACACACTACCATGTCTACCACACACACAACCAAATTCTCTACACTTTACAATCATACCCTTCTGATTGTGAACAGCATTGAGTTCAAACATTTTTGATTGCATTTATTCATTTTTTCAAAAACAAACAAAATAGTAAATATACAGGTAACATGTGAAGTCTCCTAACACAGTACAATTGTCTGAATAAAGTCAGCAATGTAAGCAAAGGGGAGTAACTCTATAAACAGCAGGTTATTCTTACTAATTTTAGTATCGGCAAAACCGAAAGGTAGGTCACCTAAATATAAACAAGAGACCTTGTAGTCTTGACGGTCACCTGAGATCAGCAATATTGAATATAGAGACTATAAAGATACATTTTAATGTTAGCAGCTTTCAAGTGTCACAAAAGCAGACATTATAACATTGATGACAGTAATCTTAAGACTTAGTGATATGAGTTCAGCCCACAGAATCAGTAAATGTATACCATCGAATCGTCATCCTATATTAATAATTCTTATCACATTGAAAATATTTCCATGCAAAATAAAACAACTTATGCTCAAAAATCTAATTTTCCTTTATATAAATGATAGCACCTCCCCTCCCGGGGGAAAATGTGAGACCCAAGGGCCATGAAATTCATAATTATGGTACAGCATCTAAAGACCCTACAATCGATGAAAAGTATTTGATTCTACCATATCTTGGTGTTGAGAAGAAGATCTTTCTAATTTCAGTCAATTTAACCCCTTTTGGTCCCACCACTCGAGCCATATAATTCAAATTTTTGGTTCATCTCTGGCCACAGAAGGATTCTGAAAAATGTCACTGAAATTGAAATGGAGGTTTTTGAGATGACGTGAAGAATGTGAAAAGTTTACAGACATACAATGCCTGACAAAACGCAATCACCACAGGACATCATGAGACTTTGTCTCAGGTAACCTGAAGATATGGAAATGATACTTAAGTTAATGAAGGGAAGGAACTAATGCAGGATACAAAAGATGGCAGAACAGTATAAATAGAGCTCTGAATTATGCTACACACAAGGGAAGTAACTCTCAGAGAACAAGTGCAAACAAAAATGAAATACAAAAGCACTATATCACCATTGGTACAACCAATTTACATAAAATTGGCCTGAAGAGTGAGGTGTGTTTCACTTCCGACAAATTTCTGTATACAGACAGATGGACAGACAGACAGGCAGACATTCCGATTTCCTATTATACCTCCAACATTATTGCACGAAGCATTCCAACAATCCATTAAGGAAATAGGATTGAAGAGAGCCAAGTTACCAGGTAAAACTGAGTGAACACGTCTCGGAGTAAAAAGTGCAAGCAAATTCAAACTTTGTACTGTCATTTCTTTCTATAAATTAAGCCATGTGCAACTGTATTTCTGTAGCAGATAATTGTTATTAGCTAATTGACCATAATATAATGTTGATAAAAAGATAACATAGGGTGCAGCTTTAATTGTTGTATTATGGATAGTTACAGAAACTTTTGCCAGTTTTTCAGCTGACAGTGTTGCAGCGGGACTGGAGGACGGGATGATGACAGATTGTGTATCCTGACACATGGGCACCATGTGGTTGATCTCAATCCTCTACAAACAGGACACAAGTAAATTACAGTGTTACCACACACCACAAGTCAATAACAGTGTTACCACTAAGTCAACATACTGTGGATTCATTTATTTTCGTTGGGTTCAATTTTCGTTGTTTCTACAAATTAGACAGTGTTATAAATTCGTGGATTTTTGATTCTGTGGGAAAAAAATAAAAACGTTCGAATTTTCTCTTTTTGCTTCCAGTCGAATTTTTTTCTGTTTGTATTAAGGCTATGTTCACAGGAATTAACACTAATGACAAGAATAAAAGAACGTTTTTTTTCAAGATGGCGTCCTGTGTTTTTATAACGCTGTTTACAACAGTCTCGCATTAATATCAAACCACAAATCAGTATATATCCTGGCGTGTAATCAATCGGTAATTATCAGAAACAATTGTTTTCAGTGGATAAACATTGTGTGCTGATCAGTCGGTGTACCGCAGTCATATGAAAACACCACGCGTATCGATGGGACCATGTGTGTAAACAGGTGTGTAAACAAGATCTGCATTATTAATAATTATTGTGAACCTGTAGTCGGATAGAAATACGGATCCAATCTTCAATCGAACCTCAAGCCTAGTGTCCACAGTGTCGCTAACGACTGCGATCCCATCATACTTAGCATCACAATGGGTACTTACCCTTTGTTATGTTTAATAATATATAATTATATATCGTTGACACCAATTTAGCGTACATGTCGACAGTTCCCGACTAATTACGGGGCTTCTGTCATTACCGGTGGACGTTTCCGGTGTCGGCAAAGATTACTTTCAAATTTCAAAATTACTTTAGTAAGTACATTAAATTTTAAAAACAACCTTGCCCCCACGTAAAATGAATCCACAGTAATATAGATACATGATACATAACATTGTCAATCATTCATATATAACAACTGTTTTGTTAAACACATGTTAATGCATTTTTACACATTAAATTTTGACTGTTAGCAAATATAACAACCGTTTTGTATGTCACATGACTGTTCAAACTTCTGTCTTCTCTTTCCCACATTTGAAGAAAATTTGAAAACATATACATTGTTTATAAAAGTATCCTAAAATTTCAGAAGTTGTGAGTTCCTTTGACAGACTTACTCATGTCAAGTGATATACAGATCGTAATATCAGTTGTATCTCAATTACATTAAACTTTTTCTTCACAAAAAAATTATATTTTTTATAATCAAACCACTGAGTTTACATTGTATACTTATAAAGCTATACACTAAAATCTTCATGCTTAAATCGGAGATATTTGTCAGTTAACAATCCATTACACAAGATTCTTTGTGATAATCTGAGCAATGCTCAGTAAGACAATAGGATTGCATATCAAATTATGTAACATGCGTAAGACCTTGAGACAAAGGCAATAGGATATAACACAACATGCAACATTTTTCTTCTGATTTACTTTACCTATATGTAACCTCAGTAAAATCCTATGATGAATAGAATCTAAAACTTGTGGTTCAATCTAACTTCGAGTAAAACTCACAAAACTTAACGTTGTACACTGTTAACTGTAAGTGATGACCCAACACATCTTAAACTTGTAAATAAACTGAACACAGGAAACCAAATGTACAGTACAGTATATCATATGAAACAAACACATTTACTAGGGATATTATCTCTATAATAACTATCTATATATATAATTTAACAGTGACATATTGGACGAGTCATTAGCAGGCAAAACCTTGGCTTATTCAATAATACTAGTACACATGTATTACTTAGCCACCTAACCAAACTGATTGAATGGTGTAGGGGTAACACTCTCACCTTTCACCCAAGCAACTGGAGTTTGATATCTTCAATATAGATGAAATGGATGACGTTGTTCACCCCAACAACCCACCAAGTACCATGTGGGTAACCAGACCCCTCCCCTTCCCTACACCAATGCCCCTCCACCACACCCACTCTCACACATATATGCCCATCTCAACTCCAAAGCCAACAAGAATACTGAAATAACATGTTGCCCAAGTGTAACGAACTATAGAGCTCAACTGAACTGACAGTACTACTAACGTTCTTTACAAACAAGATTGCTTTTTCAAGAAACGATTAGGAATTTATCAGAAACAATTGTGCCATCAAAACTTAGAAAATCTACAATGAATTGTGTCCTACTATAAATACATAATGATGAAACCATTGCTTTTCTGACAGGAATGCTTAAAACGACTCCTGTATAATAAAATAATCAATTGCATGAATTTTTATAAGATAATTGATCATATCAACATCTTCCTTAATTAGAGCTCTCTTGAAAAGGAGGTGTAAATATTGTACTAAGATAGCATAAATCCTTAACTAAATGAAGTTGCTTATAAACATGAAACATTTCTCAGCAATTGCATGCCCATGCCAATCTGCAATCCAGCAACTGCATGCTTATCTATGCATGTTTTGAAAATTAAAGTGTGCAATTATTTTTTTCCATCCTATCTTTGGAAGTTGTATGAAGTTTTATGAAAACACAACAACATAACCATATAAGTCAGACTCAGACAACTTAACTTTTAAGATCAGGATCAGACAACTAAATCTTTTAAATCTGACGACTAAATCTTCTTGATCTGACAACTAAATCTTTTAAAGCTGACAACTAACTCTTTTAAATATGAAAACTTAGTCTTTAAAATCTGACAACTACATCTTTTTGATCAGACAACGAAATCTTTTAGAACAGACAACTAATCTTTTAAATCTGACAATTTCACAGCATAAATCTGACATCTTCACAGTATAAATCTGACAACTTCACAGTATAAATCTGACAACTTCACAGTATAAACCTGACATCTTCACAGTATAAATCTGACATCTTCACAGTATAAATCTGACATCTTCACAGTATAAATCTGAGAATTTCACAGTATAAATCTGAGAACTTCACAGTATAAATCTGACAACTACACAATATAAATCTGACATCTTCACAGTATAAATCTGACATCTTCACAGTATAAATCTGACATCTTCACAGTATAAATCTGACATCTTCACAGTATAAATCTGACATCTTCACAGTATAAATCTGACATCTTCACAGTATAAATCTGACATCTTCACAATATAAATCTGACATCTTCACAGTATAAATCTGACAACTACACAATATAAATCTGACAACTTCACAGTATAAATCTGACAACTTTACAGTATAAATCTGACAACTTCACAGTATAAATCTGACTATTCAAGAGTATAAATCTAACATCTTCACAGTATAAATCTGACAACTTCACAGTATAAATCTGACAACTTCACAGTATAAATCTGACATCTTCACAGTATAAATCTGACAGTATAAATCTGACAACTTCACAGTATAAATCTGACTATTCAAGAGTATAAATCTAACATCTTCACAGTATAAATCTGACAACTTCACAGTATAAATCTGACATCTTCACAGTATAAATCTGACATCTTCACAGTATAAACCTGACATCTTCACAGTATAAATCTGACATCTTCACAGTATAAATCTGACATCTTCACAGTATAAATCTGACTATTCCACAGTATAAATCTGACAGCTTCACAGTATAAACCTGACATCTTTACAGTATAAATCTGACAACTACACAGTATAAATCTGACATCTTCACAGTATAAATCTGACAACTTCACAGTATAAATCTGACAACTTCACAGTATAAATCTGACAACTTCACAGTATAAATCTGACATCTTCACAGTATAAATCTGACATCTTAACAGTATAAATCTGACAACTTCACAGTATAAATCTGACATCTTCACAGTATAAATCTGACATCTTCACAGTATAAATCTGACATCTTCACAGTATAAATCTGACATCTTCACAGTATAAATCTGACATCTTCACAGTATAAATCTGACATCTTCACAGTATAAATCTGACAACTTCACAGTATAAACCTGACAACTTCACAGTATAAATCTGACAACTTCACAGTATAAATCTGACATCTTCACAGTATAAATCTGACATCTTCACAGTATAAATCTGACATCTTCACAGTATAAATCTGACAACTTCACAGTATAAATCTGACAACTTCACAGTATAAACCTGACATCTTTACAGTATAAATCTGAGAATTTCACAGTATAATCTGACATCTTCACAGTATAAATCTGACAACTTCACAGTATAAATCTGACATCTTCACAGTATAAACCTGACATCTTCACAGTATAATCTGACATCTTCACAGTATAAATCTGACAACTTCACAGTATAAATCTGACAACTTCACAGTATAATCTGACATCTTCACAGTATAAATCTGACAACTTCACAGTATAAACCTGACATTCTTACATCTTCTTCACAGTATAAATCTGACAACTTCACAGTATAAATTCTGACATCTTCACAGTATAAATCTACACATCTTCACAGTATAAATCTTTCACAGCATAAATCTGACAACTTCACAGTATAAATCTGACAACTTCACAGTATAAATCTGACAACTTCACAGTATAAATCTGAGAACTTCACAGTATAAATCTGACAACTTCACAGTATAAAGCTGACATCTTCACAGTATAAGTCTGAGAATTTCACAGTATAAATCTTACATCTTCACAGTATAAACCTGACAACTTTACAGTATAAATCTGACAACTTTACAGCATAAATCTGACATCTTCACAGTATAAATCTGACAACTTCACAGTATAAACCTGACAACTTCACAGTATAAACCTGACAACTTTACAGTATAAATCTGACAATTTTACAGTATAAACCTGACAACTTCACAGTATAAACCTGACAACTGAATCATATATATAACCATATAAATCTGCTTTAATTCTAATTCATTGTATGAGCATACAATTATCTCCTGATTCTTATGAAAATTGTTCATTAAGATCTTGTTTGTACACAATTAACTGTCACCAAAAATATTATACCCTGTATACATAAAGTATTTGCAAAGACAGTCTTGAATGGAGATTTTCAAGCACAGGATAAACATACAGATAGATCATTAAACTTCGGTGGTCAACTCAAGTTTTACATAGCTTTATCAAATTCATATATTACAGGTAAATCAAATTCATATATTACAGGTAAATTTAACATAAAAGCCTTTCCAAAGTCTACTGGAAGTTTCACATGCAAGCTTATTGAATTCATATATTAAAGGTAAATTTATTTAACTTAAAAGTTTTCAATAGTCTATCAGTAGCTTTACCTGTAGACTTATTAATTCATGTATTACAGGTAAATTAAATTCATATATTACAGGTAAATTAAATTCATATATTACAGGTATACAGGTAAATTCAATTCATATATTACAGGTAAATTCAATTCATATATTACAGGTAAATTAAATTAATATATTACAGGTAAATTAAATTAATATATTACAGGTAAATTCAATATATATTACAGGTAAATTCAATTCATATATTACAGGTAAATTCAATTCATATATTACAGGTAAATTTATATTAGGAAACTGCTAAATAGTCTATCAGTACCTTTACCTGTAGGCTTATTAAATGAATATCTTACAGGTAAATTGAACTATATAGCCTTTTTATAATCTATCTTTAGTTTTTACCTGTAGATTTATTATATATTTATATGATATATATATTATAAGCTAATGTATATTCATTGTATATATAATTCATAAAGTTTTCATGGGTACACCTTTTTTCGAAGTTCGGATACTTGAACAGTTCATAATGAACGTCATGCAATGTACAGATATCAGGATGTTAATATCAAGGTCCTCATTCCGTTTAATAGATGATTTTTATTACCAGGTACCGTCAAATTAGAAAACAGATGTTATTGCGTGATTTATAAGCAGAACATGCTAAATATGTGGATATTGTATATTGTAAACCTTCATACTTTCCGTTTTACAGGTTCAAATTCTGTTTTCGGTCGAAATTCATTATATTTTTCGGGTCTCGGTCTATCAACTAAGTGTGAAGAAGTTCTAACAGGAAGGATCCTTTTCCGAGGTAAGGGAGATTTCTGCTCAGTGTCGGACTTCTCCAGAATGGATTGCTAATCATGACAGAAACAGTTAATATGTTATTGTTTTTCATGCTTCTCAAGGAATTCCGTCACCATGTAGTGTTAGTTGCTTGTTACACCCAATAGATTTTAGACATTTGATCATACCTAGTAAATTTTATTCTATATCAAAACTGTTTAATCTCAACTTTTGCTTCTGAATTTTTATGCATCAGTTTAAAAGTATGTCATGGAAGCCTATTAAATATCAGATTTACAAACATTTTACCCAACATTCCCCTTTCATAATAAATACTATACGCAATGATATTAACTGGGTTTAAAAAACAACACCAAGTTTATGTTCACAATGGGGTTTAATATACTGACTAAGAAAAATATATTTGATCTTTTTTTCTGTAAAGAATTTTTATCTGTAAAGAATTAAATTTGTAGATGAGATACAATCCGGGACAATAATCTGCAATAAGAAACACAATAAGTCAGTGGACTACAGCTTACAACACACCATGATATACAACAAACATGCCCATTCATTGTTTTAAAGTAATAACGATACAATGTGATATCATACAATAATGTGTGAATTCTTTCATAATGCTACAGAGCTATCTATAATGACGAGTAAACTACATTTAGTAAGATGTATTTCCAATGTATAATACCACAAATATTGCATGCAATTCAGCGCCACTGGGAAACTGTGTCTAACCAAAGGTCACTTCAATGCGAGCACACATTGGTCTTTTTCACAGCTTTCTAAGAAATGCAAAACTGACACGGGTAGGGAGATTTGAACAACACAAATGAGATCTTCATCTGAGGTTGGATAAACCAACGTTTTACTGACCGAGCTAAAACGGTCCCTTGGCGCATAGAGGTAAAGCTGACCAAGAATGATGATATACTATCGCTGAAGACAAGGGCAATACACTGGGTATCAGAAGTTGGTGGGAAGCATATGTGGTATTCTGAGGAGGGTAGTTAGTATGTATAAACACTGGAGAGGGATATTGGTTCGTGGGTACATTGTATGTTAATAAAGATGTTTAAGTAAGGGAAATAAAAATCTGAAAAAAGATATTGGGACAGAGATATAAATCTGATTGAATAATAACAGACAGCAAAAAATGATAGTGAAAGAGAGGAAACTGAATGGGACAGAAAATAAGAGGTGATGAAAAAAAAATGATGGAAGAAATGGGGAGGTATAGAATGAGATAATGAAAGATGGGAAATAAAAACAAAGGGAAAGCATTGGTATGTTGAAATAAGGAGATATGGGGTGAAACTGGAAAAGGAAGAAAAAAGGTTTGAAAAGGCAAATAGGCAATCAATGAGATAACACACTCGCCTTTCACCTAGCCGTCCGGGGTTCGATACTGGGAATGGATGTGAAAAGGTAAGGGTCACCTGCCCGACTGCGTAGGTTTTCCCCGGGTACTCCGGTTTCCTCCCACACTAAGACCCCTCACGCGCTTCCATCCGAGCCAACAAGAGTGATTAATGTAAGTTGGAAAAACTTGCTTCCAAATTGTTGTAAAATAAGTAAAGCTTATTTTTACAAGCAGCGAGGCAGCAGGGGATGGAACAGATTTTTGTTCTAAACAAACTGTAGAGAGAGGATACCCTACCTGGTGATGTAACGGCAGGACTGACTTCTCTGTTAGGGCTAGTACAGTCTGCAGTATCACCTCAAACACGCTCAGCACCATTGTCTTCATATCCTGCTGCATACACCGTTTCTGCCAAACAGAAGTAATGACACTGCATAGTCTAGACTTCAAGGTCATTTGGTCACTAATCATTAGATCACAAGGTCAAAAACTGACTAGGTTACTCTTTTGGTTAGGTGAGCACATTCAATATTGAAATTCAAAATAACTTCTTGTGCTGCTAAATAAATCATGATGCATTTACATGAGAGAAGGAAAAGAAAAGACATGAATGATAAAACTTAGGAGAAAATGACATCAAAATCAAGGTGATATGTTTTTTGAAAATGTAGATGATCATTTCTTTTTATACTTATGTATATATATATATTTTTAAACAACAGTACCTTCAGCACCCTAAAAAAATAACATTTCACATGCAGTAAGTAGGTGACCATCGTGATACAGTGTTCAGATATACTGTGTATAGATTGTGATGAATAGAGAAAATTCTAAGGAAATTCATGTTATTGAGAAGGTCAAAGTATAAAAACTAACACCACATTTGGTACCACAGGGTCATTAAATATGTAATAAATTATGAACTGTCTACACATCACCATATTGATCTGGCTGCAGGCCCACACCTGCTAAACACTTCAGAAACACCATGAATTACCAGAACTACGAGATCTGTGTGTTATATATAACTGGAACTATAACCTTGCAAGAGAAAATGTGATTTTACTCATGAATATTGCACAAATACCTTGTTTATCTGGACAGATATACGGTGACATGTATCAACATCTACATCAATACGTTTCCAATCCCTGAGTGAAGGATACAGAAACAAGATAGACCTAACAAGGAACTTGACAATGAGCTAATATTAGTTCTTGTGGAATATATGCATTCAAAAAGTATTTCTTGAAATGTGAACTGATCAGGGGAGATAATTCAGTAATGTGAGAGTTTCGATATTTTCAGTATTTACTGTACAACTTACCCGCGGTTGAGATCTTGATCCATTATGCCGCTTGTAATTAAAACCATTCATTTTTTCAAATACAAAGTTAAACTAGATATTTCAACTGAGAAATTCTCCAGAAACCAAAACGAAAATTTTGTTGAGATGTTGTGGATTTCAATTTAGATACCCTTATTGATTTATGAAATTATGACAGGAAAGATTAAATAAATTCAATGATATTTTATCTCTTTGTTACATTTTTAGTTACCTGTTTCATCTGGAACACATTGTTGAGGATGTCGCCAAGGATACCGGTGACTTGTGGCAGCATAAACTTTTCTATCATACAGTACTTTATCTGACTCAGACACAGGGGTAGAATGATGCTCCGAGATTCTACAACACAATGTAAACTTTTATCATACAGTACTTTATCTGACTCAGACACAGAGGTAGAAGGATGCTCCGAGATTCTACAACACAATGTAAAATTTACTATCATACAGTACTTTATCTGACTCAGACACAGGGGTAGAATGATGCTCCATGATTCTACAACACAATGTAAACTTTTCTATCATACAGTACTTTATCTGACTCAGACACAGGGGTAGAATGATGCTCCGTGATTCTACAACACAATGTAAAATTTACTATCATACAGTACTTTATCTGACTCAGACACAGGGGTAGAATGATGCTCCGTGATTCTACAACACAATGTAAAATTTACTATCATACAGTACTTTATCTGACTCAGACACAGGGGTAGAATGATGCTCCGAGATTCTACAACACAATGTAAACTTTTATATCATACAGTACTTTATCTGACTCAGACACAGGGGTAGAATGATGCTCCATGATTCTACAACACAATGTAAAATTTTCTATCATACAGTACTTTATCTGACTCAGACACAGGGGTAGAATTGCTCCGTGATTCTACAACACAATGTAAAATTTACTATCATACAGTACTTTATCTGACTCAACACAGGGGTATGTAAACTTTTATATCATACAGTACTTTATCTGACTCAGACACAGGGGTAGAATGATGCTCCGTGATTCTACAACACAATGTAAAATTTACTATCATACAGTACTTTATCTGACTCAGACACAGGGGTAGAATGATGCTCCGAGATCCTACAACACAACATTTTCTATAAACTACTATTATCTTCTGGGAATATGAAAAAGACTATTAAAATAATTCAGGAACTTTAATCAAGACAAAATAATCCACTCCTGCCAAACTGACGGTGATCAGTTATCTGACAAGAAATGTTATCCCAATGTCAACTTAAACACTGTACCCCCTACAGGTTCTCACTCCAAACAACCATTAGACACCTCCATTTTATCATGGAAAGTAACCACAGAAAGCTAGCTTTTATCATTGTACTCATAGTTTCTCAAATATACTACCCACACAGTTTATCAAGAGATGTAGTTTGGGTAGAGTTTCCTGGACAAATATTGTAGACAAAAAAGAGCCTGACAAGGTGATTACATTATACTACTCCTTGTTATGCTGGGTATAATAAGGAAATGAATGATATACGGACACAAACCATCGGCCTGGAATAGCTCCGAGTTGACCGTTTCCTGTATAAATTCCAGTTTGTTGCGTTGGACATCCTCTGGTAGTTCCTTGGATTTTGGCATTCTGGTGATTACCATGACAACAAGTTCTGCCATCTCCCGTAGAGTGAGCACACCTCGTAAGGGTCCATACGCCAAATGTAGATTACTCAGCAAAGCCATCTGGGAAAAAGAAAGCAAAATGTCTGAAACATTCTATCAGCCATGCAACAGTAATTACACACACACTAACAGTAATTACATACAGACTAACAGTAATTACACACAGACTAACAGTAATTACACACAGTCTAACAGTAATTACATACAGACTAACAGTAATTACACACACTAACAGTAATTACATACAGACTAACAGTAATTACATACAGACTAACAGTAATTACATACAGACTAACAGTAATTACATACAGACTAACAGTAATTACATACATACTAACAGTAATTACATACAGACTAACAGTAATTACATACAGACTAACAGTAATTACATACAGACTAACAGTAATTACATACACACTAACAGTAATTACATACAGACTAACAGTAATTACATACATACTAACAGTAATTACACACAGACTAACAGTAATTACATACAGACTAACAGTAATTACATACACACTAACAGTAATTACATACAGACTAACAGTAATTACACACAGACTAACAGTAATTACACACATACTAACAGTAATTACACACATACTAACAGTAATTACATACAGACTAACAGTAATTACACACACACTAACAGTAATTACATACAGACTAACAGTAATTACACATAGACTAACAGTAATTACACACATACTAACAGTAATTACATACAGACTAACAGTAATTACACACACACTAACAGTAATTACATACAGACTAACAGTAATTACACATAGACTAACAGTAATTACATACAGACTAACAGTAATTACACATAGACTAACAGTAATTACACACATACTAACAGTAATTACATACAGACTAACAGTAATTACACACACACTAACAGTAATTACATACAGACTAACAGTAATTACACATAGACTAACAGTAATTACACACATACTAACAGTAATTACATACAGACTAACAGTAATTACACATAGACTAACAGTAATTACACACAGACTAACAGTAATTACATACAGACTAACAGTAATTACATACACACTAACAGTAATTACATACAGACTAACAGTAATTACACACAGACTAACAGTAATTACACACATACTAACAGTAATTACACACATACTAACAGTAATTACATACAGACTAACAGTAATTACACACACACTAACAGTAATTACATACAGACTAACAGTAATTACACATAGACTAACAGTAATTACACACATACTAACAGTAATTACATACAGACTAACAGTAATTACACACACACTAACAGTAATTACATACAGACTAACAGTAATTACACATAGACTAACAGTAATTACATACAGACTAACAGTAATTACACATAGACTAACAGTAATTACACACATACTAACAGTAATTACATACAGACTAACAGTAATTACACACACACTAACAGTAATTACATACAGACTAACAGTAATTACACATAGACTAACAGTAATTACACACATACTAACAGTAATTACATACAGACTAACAGTAATTACACATAGACTAACAGTAATTACACACAGACTAACAGTAATTACACACACACTAACAGTAATTACATACACACTAACAGTAATTACATACAGACTAACAGTAATTACACACAGACTAACAGTAATTACACACAGACTAACAGTAATTACACACATACTAACAGTAATTACATACAGACTAACAGTAATTACACACACACTAACAGTAATTACATACAGACTAACAGTAATTACACATAGACTAACAGTAATTACATACAGACTAACAGTAATTACACATAGACTAACAGTAATTACACACATACTAACAGTAATTACATACAGACTAACAGTAATTACACACACACTAACAGTAATTACATACAGACTAACAGTAATTACACATAGACTAACAGTAATTACACACATACTAACAGTAATTACATACAGACTAACAGTAATTACACATAGACTAACAGTAATTACACACAGACTAACAGTAATTACACACACACTAACAGTAATTACATACACACTAACAGTAATTACATACAGACTAACAGTAATTACACACAGACTAACAGTAATTACACACAGACTAACAGTAATTACACACATACTAACAGTAATTACACACAGACTAACAACAGTAATTACACACAGACTAACAGTAATTACACACACACTAACAGTAATTACATACAGACTAACAGTAATTACATACAGACTAACAGTAATTACACACAGACTAACAGTAATTACACACAGACTAACAGTAATTACACACATACTAACAGTAATTACACACAGACTAACAGTAATTACACTCATACTAACAGTAATTACACACATACTAACAGTAATCACACACATACTAACAGTAATTACACACAGACTAACAGTAATTACACTCAGACTAATAGTAATTACACACATACTAACAGTAATTACACATAGACTAACAGTTATTACACACATACTAACAGTAATTACACACAGTACACACAGACTAACAGTAATTACACACATACTAACAGTAATAACACACAGTCTAACAGTAATTACACAACAGACTAACAGTTACTACATAGAGACTAACTGTAATTACACACAGACTAACAGTTATGACACAGACTAACAGTAATTACACACAGACTAACAGTAATTACACATAGACTAACAGTTACGACACATAGACTAACAGTAACTACACACAATCTTACACAAGTACACACAGACTAACAAGTAATTACACACACACTAACAGTAATTACATATAATCTAACACTAACTACACACACACTAACAAGTAATTACATATAATCTAACACTAAGTACACACAGACTGGCAATAATAACAAACAAAACAAACACAAAGTGACACTTTATAGTTATTATTATCAATAACACTTTTCATATTTTTCAAAACTGGAAATTTATCAGTGAGTTAATAAATGCACAAATTTATTATCTACGTGTTTAAAATTTTGATTCAGACTGACCTGGGATATCTTTGTCCTGTCATTATTACGTGACACCAGCTCCCCCATCTTAGCAAAAAGGTCCTGAAGATTCTTCTTGAATTCAATCTCATCTCCACTGCCGAGGCTGTTAAACAATGACATCATAACTGTATATTGATGTTAGAGAAGGTTTTACACATACATTGTCTACAAAAACACCCTTGGCTAGTATTTTCGTGTTTAACATGTAACATGAAGATTTCATTTTAGTTTTAAAAAGATTTCAGAAAAAAAATTAATGCTTGGACATGTTCCCAATGTTCATATTAAATTCTTACAGTGTATTTGATAAATCTTTAATAGTCAGTTATATATTATTACACCTGGTATGTTTCCATTGATGTAATAATCATATTTCCTTACACTATCAGTCACCAAGTCCTAGATTGGAACTCTCACTAAACTGGTTCACACAGCTGATTGACTGCGACCATAGAGTTATATAATTGGTTCACACAGCTGATTGACTGAGACCATGGAGTTATATAATTGGTTCACAAAGCTGATTGGCTCAAACCATAGAGTTATATAACTGGTTCACACAGATGATTGACTGAGACCATAGAGTTATATGTACCTGAGCTGTAGTTCTCTGGATCGCACCACAAACCGTAGAATCTGTTCTAACACCTGTATAGAACAAATAAAATTTCACACCAGGTAACATTAAATACTGACTCAAAATTTCTTGATAAAAATATCTAAAGGTTAAATTTAGAGTTCCTTGTGGTTTGACTTTTTTATCTTCCTTTTTTTTGCAAAATCATATTTTTTTTCAGGATATGTGCAAGATAAATATGATAAGTTTTGTAAGTGATAAAGACACTGTGAGGATCACAGTAAGTGATGGAAACACTAGAAGGATTGTTTACCTTTAGACAGAGAGACACTGTGAAGACCCCGCCTTCACAGTAACAATGTATCCCCTCAGCAAAACATTTCAGCATATCTCTGTAAAAAACAAACAATGACAAATAATAAACAAACGCTGAAGACTTACAGTATAAGTATCCTTCCTTATAGATTATATCAGTGGTCAATATAAGAGTTATCTCCCTTCTCATAATACAAGTAGTTGAAATAATAATAGTTGACATTTATAGAAGTCATTTTTTTTCTTCGCTTTTATACAGAGGTCATTGGGAAGCTAAGTGGGATGTGTACATTATCTACCCCAAGAAATAATCATGCTAAATTTCATCTAAAAGTGATTTTATTGAAGATGAAAGAATTTAAATGTAAACTCGGTTAGGAATATTCTAATTTTCTATTGAATCCATTTTCAGTAAACTCAGATATACATTCTAGACAATCAAACATAATTATATGTAACCTTACTTGTAAAGTACAGATGGAAAATTGGTCAGATTCATCTATGAACTATAGGTGAGGAGAACTGTTCAAACTTACTTGTGAACTACTGGTGAGAACTGTTCTAACCTTACTTGTAATTACAGGTGATTGGTCAGACTTACAAGTGAACTACAGGTGATTGGTCAGACTTACCTGTGAACTACAGGTGAGGAAAATTGGCCGGACAGGTAGTTCTCTAGCACAGGTAAGAAGGTGACAAACCGACTGTCCCTTAGGAGGTTCAGTACGTAGACCTGTGGATGTTCAATCATGTTCGTGAATTTAGCAATCTCAACACTTATTTTTATTATCTATTTTATTTACCACATGCTCTTTTTTATAATAAAAGTAATTGGAAACCATTCCTTTCAACAAAGTTATCTAGCTATTTCAGAAAATTACTAGGTTTTATCAATCTTCTTACATAGTTGAAGATGATTTACACCAGGAGGGCCCAAATTTAACATAGTTTCAATATTTTTCTCCCTATAATATTCCTTTAGCTGAAGAAACTGATAATTTTACCAGAACTTGGAACACTTTGGAGGTGTTGGTGTCTTCATTAGCAAAGCCGTCTGTCATGATGGCAAAGAGAGAGTCCAGCACATCAGGGAGGAACTGAAGGGCAAGGTCAAAGTTATATTAACTCAATCTATGCAGTATAGGTATTACAATGTCAAGATTATGTAACATTTTATACTATCATAATATTACAAGGTCAAGGTCATATAACACTTTATATTATCAAAGAATTACAAGGTTAAGGTTATATTACACTTTATACTATCATAGTATTACAAGGTCAAGGTTATTTGACACTTTATACTACCATAGTATTACAAGGTCAAGGTCATATAACAATTGATACTGTCGTGATATTACAAGGTCAAGGTCATATAACACTTTACATTATCATAGAATTACAGGGTCAAATAATACTTTATACTATCATAGTATTAGAAGGTCAAGGTTATGTAACATGACATACTATCACAGTAATGTAAGGTCAAGATAACATAGGATATTTACATTATAGCACCATCACAATAACAAGGTTACATAGCATACATGCTAATTGAGATAATGATTTGTTATTATCAACATCACTTTTTAAAAGATTGTTGAATATAGATGTTGGCATTTACTTAATCCACTTGACAATCTGATAGTACTCAGCTTAATTTCTTTTGATTTTATCAGATTTCTATTTCAAAATCAGAGCAGAGATTTGGTTTCACTCCCTTTTATATACTATATCAAAATATTGAACCAACTACTAACTTACAACATGCCCAGCAGACAAGCATTTGATATCTGACCAAATAAGATGGTGGGCTTATTACAGCACAATGAAATAACATTGATTCACTTTTCTACTGAATTACTGTAGTTTAAGTTACTCTTTTCATAAGAAAGATTTTGTGAATACAGTTCAAGTTTATATATATCAGAAAGTAGGTAACCTCTGAATTTGATGTTTTCTTTGCACATTAAATCTGTCTTTTATATAATCTCAAAGCAAAGTTACTAACAGACTTGATCTTCCTTGTTTGATATATAACAGTCTAGTTAAATATGAAGGTCATAGGTCATACATACCTTCATGATTTCAACGCCCTCTATTTTACTGAATTGGTCCAATATTGTAGGGAGACGCTGCTGGTTTTCTGGAAGTTTCCACTGCAGTAGGCCCAAAAGGTCACCTAAGGTTATTAAAGTCAGAAAGGTCATCCAAGAAGTCACTTAAGGACACTTAAGTCATTAAAGTCAGAAATGTCACTCCAGAGATCAACTAAGGACACTTAAGTCAGAAAGGTCACCAAAAAGGTCACCTATGGATATAAAAGTCATAAAGGTCACCCAAAAGGTCACCTAAGGACACTAAAGTCGGAAAGGTCACCCAAGAGGTCACTTAAGGACACTTAAGTCAGAAAGGTCACCCAAGAGTTAAACTAAGGACATAAAAGTGGGAAAGGTCACCCAAAAGGTCACTTAAGGACACTGAAGTCAGAAAGGTCACCCAAAAGATTACCTAAGAACATATCACATGGCTATCGGTAGACAACACTCTTTTTATACAGCTTTTAAGTATACTGTAGGTACATATGTTAAAGTACACTCATATTACTTTACTGCATGTTAAATTTTAAACCCAATGACCAGACAGATTAATCAAGAACCACATATTTATGTACGTCTAATCCAGATCTCGGGGAGGATTTAGTCACCATTTTGAATTATTCATTGCCACATACAGCCAAATTCAGATACAGGAAACAAAAGTGAACATGCAGTGAGACGACATCTTGTTGAATATCCCAGAGTTTTTGCTTCTCTCGGGAAGTCTGTAGCTATAAAACTCACTTGTCTGGGTGTATTTGGTAGAGCACAGCTGAGTCTTCACGGTCAATTTCTCTTTTGCACTTTTCTTGTAGGGCTGGTTGCTAGGAAACATGGACATTCTTGCCTCTCCAGTGTCATCATACAAATATGGCAGTCTTCGATACTTCCTGAATACCACCTTGCTGATGTCCTCACACTGTCAATTATACAACACTGCATTCCAATCTAACACCATCAGTAACTGGTCAAATCAATCTATTTTGGAAGGTAACTCCAAAAATTTGACCTTTATATTAAATACATGCTATCTGCACATCTTCATTTTTGTTTTCAAAACTTGAAAAATCTGTTCACTGCTTAAAATCACTTATAAGGTACAAATTTGTAGAAAATAGAAACAGGTCAATGATGCTACTTTCCTGATTTTTCCAGCAATTTCACCACTGGAAATTTTTAAAAGTTGGCATGTATCCCAAAAGAGATCACTCTTATGCAATGTGCATACAGATTTATATCCAAAATCAGGGGTGGGCTTATTACAGGACAATAAGTCCACAGACCAATATACAGATTCATATCCAAAATAAGAGGTGGGCTTATTACAGGGTAGTAAATCATGGAGGTCAACACAAACATTTTACCCCAGGTCCATGGATTGGCTTACAGGACAATAAGTCCAAAGGGCAAACATACTGGTTCTGATTCAAAGTTTGGTTGGGCTTATTGCACAGTTGTTCAAACATCAATAGACATTGGTGGGCTTACCGCCTGATATATCTATATATATATGATAGTATGTATGACAATTTTAGAGTCTTCTAATGATGACATATGCCAATAATTAACCTCTTACCTGGTATATACACAGGTCATGTGACCCGTCGTGTATAACAATGTCCTCGTTGTTAGTTACACATAAGAAAGCAAATCCTACTGGTTTCTTACTTTCTCTTCCTCTAGCTGAAATGAATGAAAATATTAATAATTATATGATCTTTCCTTTGTATTGTGCATGGCTATTAAAAACAAATTATATACAGAAACATGATACAAATTCATGTATGAATCACATTTAATCAGAAAATGCTTTCCATTATATCTCTGGGTCAGTAAATACTTTCCTTTATGTCTCTGGGTAAAGAGCTGTCAAATTTTTATATTCATAAAGGATTTGTTTCTTCATATATAAACATAACATTGTATTATACTATCATCACATGGATATTGACATTCAACACTAAAATTTCTCCCTTGATTGCTGCTGACTGCTCCAGAAATATATTGAAAGTACAACCCTAAATAATGGCCTTGTCTGTGAGGCCTGCTTACCTATATAACCTAAATAACAGTTGGTTAAAACCGTATACCAGTAGTGAAGAGAAAAAACAGAAAGATAACTTACTTGAACAATGATAAATATCAAATCTAATTAGGGATTTAGGTAGCATTTCCATTGGCACTGATAACTGTAACAGAAACAAACACGCCCATTAATTGGCTTCTTCTCTCCACATGGTAAAATTTTTAGCCTTTTAAATTCAAACCAAAAAGTCTTAATTTTTAGACATTTTGGTCTTGTAAAAAACAAGCCAAAAAGTTATATTTTCAAAAAATTTTGGTCTTGTAAATAACAAACAAAAAGTTTTATTTTCTTTAACAATTTACAGTTAAATTGAAATATTTCCATGTTAGAAATCTTCAAAATAGGTATTTGTCCTCACCCTGACTGTTTCGTTCCACTGTGGACTGTTGTCATGGTAATAGATTGTCGAGTAAAAATTGGTTTGCGGTTTCTCTCCACATCCAAAGCTCATACAGTTCTGAAACAAACAAACAAAATAAATTCAAGGTTTTTGATAAATGTAGTAGCATGCGAGATCTAAAAGCATTCGTTGTGACAAAATCACAATTTTGTTTGTAGTGGATATCAAAAAAACATCAACAGCAATATGCAAAATCATATTAAAGTAAATTATGATTACAATGTTGTCTATATGCGACAGTCATGTGAAAAAATCATATATAATATGTGTGTAAGTATTCTCAAAAGAAACAATGACTGATTTGTAAAGTGTGCCATATACTTTCAAATGTACCACATCAGACCCGAAGGTATAAGCCATATGTACCTTGATTTCTACTCCGTTAGAGTCAAGTGCAGTCACAACTATTTCTACGTTCTTCTCCGACTTTTTCTTGCCACGATCATACTCCCCACTGACTAGTGTCAGGTAGATGTCATTCCTCAATTGACCTGGGGAGATAAAACTCTTGAGGTCATCATCAAGAGAGAGTTCAGTATTCTTTGGTAGTTAATGACAGAGAAAAAAAAGTTTGGCAGGTATTTACACAAAAACAAAGCTTCTAAACATATTCATCACTGTTATTTTTTTCATATATGGATATAAAAATTTTAATTTTAAGATGTGGAAAAAGCATAAAACAGATCAAGGATTTGATGATGAAAAAACACAGTAAGTTATATCAAATGTTACAACTTTTTGATACGGATTCTGGAATCTGATTTGGAAATCTGACTTAAGCTGTCTGTCAGTGATGGAAGAAGATTCTACAGACTTAAGCTGTCTGTCAGTGATGGTAGAAGATCCTATAGACTTGAGCTGTCTGTCTGTGATGGTAGAAGATTCTATAGACTTAAGCTGTCTGTCAGTGATGGTAGAAGATTCTATAGACTTAAGCTGTCTGTCAGTGATGGAAGAAGATTCTATAGACTTAAGCTGTCTGTCAGTGATGGTAGAAGATTCTATAGACTTAAGCTGTCTGTCAGTGATGGAAGAAGATTCTATAGACTTAAGCTGTCTGTCAGTGATGGAAGAAGATTCTATAGACTTAAGCTGTCTGTCAGTGATGGAAGAAGATTCTATAGACTTGAGCTGTCTGTCAGTGATGGTAGAAGATTCTATAGACTTAAGCTGTCTGTCAGTGATGGTAGAAGATTCTATAGACTTAAGCTGTCTGTCAGTGATGGTAGAAGATCCTATAGACTTAAGCTGTCTGTCAGTGATGGTAGAAGATTCTATAGACTTAAGCTGTCTGTCTGTGATGGAAGAAGATTCTATAGACTTCAGCTGTCTGTCAGTGATGGTAGAAGATTCTATAGACTTAAGCTGTCTGTCAGTGATGGTAGAAGATCCTATAGACATAAGCTGTCTGTCAGTGATGGTAGAAGAGCCTATAGACATAAGCTGTCTGTCAGTGATGGTAGAAGATTCTATAGACTTAAGCTGTCTGTCTGTGATGGTAGAAGATTCTATAGACTTAATCTTTCTGTCTGTGATGGTAGAAGATTCTATAGACTTAATCTTTCTGTCTGTGATGGTAGAAGATTCTAGAGACTTAAGCTGTCTGTCAGTGATGGTAGAAGATTCTATAGACTTGAGCTGTCTGTCAGTGATGGTAGAAGATTCTATAGACTTGAGCTGTCTGTCAGTGATGGTAGAAGATTCTATAGACTTGAGCTGTCTGTCAGTGATGGTAGAAGATTCTATAGACTTGAGCTGTCTGTCAGTGATGGAAGAGGAGTAATTTCACCACAACAATAAGTAAAGCTACGTAGACAACAATTTGTGACTGATGTTTATATTTTGATACAACATAACATTATAACGGTCAATTACTGTATTTATCACAGTAGTTTTGACACAAATTATGGGGGGAGGGGGAGGGAACCTTATTTCAGGACAATGAAAATGCATTTGGTTTGTTTTTTGTTCTTTTTTCACTGAACAGCAATATATATTGTAGGGCTTATTTTCGAGACAACTGAATAGCATTTGTTTTTATTATTCATCTTATTTCTATTTTGGTTTATTTCTTTTCTTTTTTCACTGAACAGCAATATACTATGGGGGTGTGATTATTTCCTGGCATGAACTTATTGCTGGAAAAGTAAGGCAAATAAGAAATATAATAAAGTTGTATAATTAAACAGATAACAAAGATGTATCAGTGGATCATAGGTTAACAGTCAAACCATAGATCAGTCAATAGTTAAAACATACATCAAGCAGAAAATATCTACAGAGATAAGATACAGAAAGGGTTTAGATTTAAAATTAACACACTTTACAGTGGAATTTTATATAAGTAAACTTATCCACACAATTTATGTGATAGAGACGTAAATATCGTGTGATAGTATCAATTGCCATTAATTTCAAACTATTTATTAAGACAAATGAATACAGGATTCAAAAATGAATATTTTGTTCATGGTTATTTTTAAACTTCTGAAATATTGAGACACACTTCAATTTCAGCAATCTGATAAAAAGAATTAACTTTCATGCATCAACATTCGAAAATATACCGATGTAGCCTCTAGATAATGGCATGTTTGACGAAATTCTGTAATGTGACGATAATCAAACTTAATAAAATGATGTGATAGATGATTTGTTATTCAACACTATGTGTATATAGGTATGTGTTCTGTAGGTTATTCAACACTATATGTATATACAGGTATGTGTTCTGTAGGTTATACAACACTATATATATACAGGTATGTGTTCTGTAGGTTATACAACACTACATGTATACAGGTATGTGTTCTGTAGGTTATACAACACTATATGTAAACAGGTATGTGTTCTGTAGGTTATACAACACTATATTTATACAGGTATGTGTTCTGTAGGTTATACAACACTATGTGTATACAGGTATGGGTTTTGTAAGTTATTCAACACTATATGTATACAGGTATGGGTTTTGTAGGTCATTCAACACTATATATATATACAGGTATGGGTTTTGTAGGTTATTCAACACTATTTATCACTATATGTATACAGGTATGTGTTCTGTAGGTTACACAACACTATATGTATACAGGTATGTGTTCTGTAGGTTATACAACACTATATGTATACAGGTATGGGTTTTGTAGGTTATTCAACACTATATATATATACAGGTATGTGTTCTGTAGGTTATACAACACTATATGTATACAGGTATGTGTTCTGTAGGTTATACAACACTATATGTATATACAGGTATGGGTTCTGTAGGTTATACAACACTATATGTATACAGGTATGTGTTTTGTAGGTTATACAACACTATATGTATACAGGTATGTGTTCTGTAGGTTATACAACACTATATGTATACAGGTATGTGTTCTGTAGGTTATACAACACTATATGTATATACAGGTATGTGTTCTGTAGGTTATACAACACTATATGTATATACAGGTATGTGTTCTGTAGGTTATACAACACTATATGTATACAGGTATGGGTTTTGTAGGTTATTCAACACTATATATATATACAGGTATGTGTTCTGTAGGTTACACAACACTATATGTATACAGGTATGTGTTCTGTAGGTTATACAACACTATATGTATACAGGTATGTGTTCTGTAGGTTATACAACACTATATGTATACAGGTATGTGTTCTGTAGGTTATACAACACTATATGTATACAGGTATGTGTTCTGTAGGTTATACAACACTATATGTATACAGGTATGTGTTCTGTAGGTTATACAACACTATATGTATACAGATATGGGTTTTGTAGGTTATTCAACACTATATATATATACAGGTATGGGTTTTGTAGGCTATTTATCACTATATGTATACAGGTATGGGTTTTGTAGGTTAATTTATGACACTAAATCATCTAAATGGCATAATATGTAGGTTGTTTACATTACCCTTGAAACCACAAATAAGAATTATTGCTTTCTTGTTTAATTAGTTTAGTTAAACTTATGAATCACCTGGATTTAAAACACCTTATCAATAAGTTTCTACTTGAAGATAAGAAGAGGAAAATTTTACAACAGTATATGTAAAATACAACATAATGACAACTCCATCAGGTAACAAAAAACAGGCTGTAAAAAAATCAAGGAATATTGAAAGAAGAACACCGACATCAAACTTTAAAATTCACAACAGAAACTTTCCATCACTAACGTCAAAACAAAATATAATGAACTTAAGAGGGAAGGTAACTGATCTACCACGTACCATTGGCAGTCGAATCCAAATAGAGAGCTAATGTAAAACAGGATATTCTCTTACTACACATCACTACGTATAATACAATTAAATTGACCTATCAGTACACATAGCAATCATATCATACACCAATTCTTATATCAGCACACACATAACAGTGACATTGTACACAAACTGTTCTATCAGTACACACATAACAGTGACATTGTGCACAAACTGTTCTATCAGTACACACATAACAGTGACATTGTACACAAACTGTTCTATCAGTACACACATAACAGTGACATTGTACACAAACTGTTCTATCAGTACACACATAACAGTGACAATGTACACAAACTATTCTATCAATACACACATAACAGTGACATTGTACACAAACTGTTCTATCAGTACACACATAACAGTGACAATGTACACAAACTATTCTATCAATACACACATAACAGTGACATTGTACACAAGCTGTTCTATCAGTACACACATAACAATGACATTGTACACAAACTGTTCTATCAGTACACACATAACAGTGACATTGTACACAAACTGTTCTATCAGTACACACATAACAGTGACATTGTACACAAGCTATTATAATTACAGTGTACAGATGTTTTCTATTCACACACACATAACACTATGTACAAGATAGAAAACACTAAACAATACTATTAAACACATATTCTTTTATTGGAACATATTATAAATATCTATCAATGAAATACTAGAAGATACAAACCCTATAAACTTTTAAAAATCCAATTTTTAATCCTCTCAGCACTATGCCAGGATTCATACATAGCAAATGATTGTTTTATAAGATAAAACGTACAATTAATATGGCTAGGTCATGTATCAACTACCTGGTACAATCGCTACCTGTCTGTATGCTTACCTGGGTTAATGATAAGATCAGTAAAACTGAGTTTCGGTATCACAGTAACTCCCTTGGAAAACAAGATGGCCTCCTCTGTTTTGATTGCTTGTAGGTCACCTTGGAACATCTTGAATGAAAATGTAACACCTGTAGAAAAAAAATAAAAGAAAATTAATCAGATTTTTTAAAAGGTCATAAAAGATGACTGTATACTAGGTACTATGTATTTAGATAAATAAGGGTACAGGTTGACCAAAGTAACAGATTTTTCTAACTCAAAAAGGTGCAATTTGTTGTGATTCCACATACAGGCTGGCACAATGATTCTTCAGCCTCTGGAAGTCCCAGGTATGCTACTACTAGGTGGTAAAGTAGAGTTAAAATCACCATCAATACCAAAAATATTGATTTTACCAGCTAGTAACTTATAGTCAACACCCCAACAACCAAAAATATCTCTTTGATACAAAAAATATCAAGCAACACAATTTTCTGTCGGAGTTATATCTAAACCTCAAAACATGACAAGAAATTGTTTTCTTTTCGTAGAACTAGTTATACTTTGTCATGTTGCTGATCTGTCTTGATTAGGTAACTGTGACCTGAATTATTCTGTATTACCTAAATTAACTTTATCTTCCTTAAAGCTTGCTCCTAGTCTGCTGCCACTCTTTTCCTGCAGAGCCTTCCTGATCAGGCTCTCATGTTGATCTGGGAAGGAGTTCTCACTGTCCACACAACTGAGGTAGAATCAATTCAAAAGTGTTAAGATAAAATTTGACAAACAAATCAACACCAAATCTTAAACAGAATATTTGAAATTGGAAATATATACCCTAACAGCAGAAGGTTAAGGTCACTGTTAGTAGAAGGTCAAGGTCATCGTTAACTTTAATCTTATTATATCAGTCTGTATTGTAAGATTCTGACTTTAGTGATAGCGACCTTGACCTTGTCCCATTCAAAATGGTATACTGTGTTTACTCCTCAAAGAACCCAGAAGCCAAACACATAATCTTCAAGCAGAGAAAGAGAGCTTATTGAAAAACAATGTAAAAGATTCTCTCTTTTGTTTTGAAGATGAAAATCAGATATGAGTGGGCTAATTACCTGTCACTGGATCTATGGTAGGAGTGATACACTATTTGCAAAAATCTATGGGAAGATTCATGGAAATTTGTCAGAAATACAGCTGTGAAAAAGACAATATGCTATTTTTCTAATCTTTCAATTATCGTAAGTGATTTTGATCATGAATTTATTGACAATGTAAATTGTACCTGCCAGTAATATTGACAATGTAAATTGTACCTGTCAGTAATATTGACAATGAAATTGTACCTGCCAGTAATATTGACAATGTAAATTGTACCTGTCAGTAATATTGACAATGTAAATTGTACCTGTCAGTAATATTGACAATGTAAATTGTACCTGCCAGTAATATTGACAATGAAATTGTACCTGTCAGTAATATTGACAATGAAATTGTACCTGCCAGTAATATTGACAATGAAATTGTACCTGTCAGTAATATTGACAATGAAATTGTACCTGTTAAAAAATAAGTTTAAGGTAAACAAACCAGAGAGATCTGATGAAAATATGTCTAAAAACAGAATTTCTTTTAAAATTTATTATTAGTAACAATGACCTTGACCAAAACTAATACCTGGTTAGTGAGTTCTTTTTTAGGACTTCTTAACCACTAGTGTGATCGCAATGTACATGACAAAGCTGTATCTTTCCCCAGAACCTGATAATGTCGAGTCATAATATTTATGCCAGATTTTGTTTTAAAAGAAGAATTGTTGCCAGGTAGGATTTTAAAGTTCACTTCACTTTAGTTTTGACGAAGCAGACATTACCTGGTGACCTTCATCATTGTTTCATACTCCTTATCTGTGGAAGACATATGTCTCACTTCCTCAACCTTCATCACTGAAATATTCAAATATACATCTTAAAACAATGTTAGCTTCAGAAGCAATACAAATATCAATCTCTATTTTGTATATGTTCTGTGGAAAAGCCAGTAATCTGAAAACAGTCCTATCTGAATATCAAATGTATCACTTCATATGGACTGTATGGGTACATATTGTCACCCATATTGATGAATTTATAAAAAAAAAAAACCCATTACAATACCAAGAAAATAACGATATTTGAAGAAAGCAAGTTCAACCTAAATATTTCTTTTTATAACAGATTAAATTTTTACATAAATGTATGGGTAAATGAAAAAGTATGGTGTACCTACCTCCGACTCCGAATGGACGTCTGTACGTACGTCCTGCACCCTTCTGTTGCGTTGTAGCTAACATTTTACCTGTGGGCAAAGAAATTTTAAATTACAGAGGTGTATCTGTCTAATTTTTGTGATCTTTGTTCAAAAGAAAATGAATCACTTTAAGAGTCAGAATTAAATTAGAAACCAACATGTGGGTTAAATCAGCACCAAGATTTCACAGTGTCATGACAGTAATAGGAAACGTTTAGAGAGATTAGGAAAATGGGCTAATTTCTATCTAAAACCTGTAGCATCTTGTGGATCAGTTAGTGTAATGGTCTCGTGTCTGACCACCAATGGCTATCAGTCATTGATTCTAGGTCTAGGTTGTAGCATACAGAAATATTAACATGAATACATGGATATAGGGAGAGTATATTATACATCTTGAAGATGACCCTTGATAAGGTCATTTGACTTTTTAACATCTCATAGGTTAAGGTTGAGTTTCTTGGTGACTGTCCTTGATAAGATCATTGGACCTTCAACATCACATAGATTTAAGGATAGTATATATTGGAGACTGACCTTGATAAAGTCATTTGACTTTCAATGTCACATAAATTTAAGGATAGTATATATTGGAGACTGACCTTGATAAAGTCATTTGACTTTCAATGTCACATAAATTTAAGGATAGTATATATTGGAGACTGACCTTGATAAAGTCATTTGACTTTCAATGTCACCTAGATTCAAGGATAGTATATATTGGAGACTGACCTTGATAAAGTCATTTGACTTTCATTGTCACCTAGATTTAAGGATAGCATATATTGGAAACTGACCTTGATAAAGTCATTTGACCTTCAATATCACATAGATTTAAGGACAGTATATCTTGAAAAATAACCTTGATGAGGTCATCTGACCTTCAATATCACAAAGACATCAATCATATACATGCCAGAGACTTACCACATCTGTAAATTTTGATAACTAGAAACAAGGTTTTGTTCAGATCTTCTGAAGATAAGTCCTGAAATTAAAATATGATCATTACACATTTTTACATGAAAGGTATTTCATGAACAATGATTTTCAAAGCAAATGTTTAGTTTAGATTCTTCATGAATTCACCAAAAGTTTCCAGTAACAAAACCAATTATTAAAAAACTAATATAAAGCAAAAATTATAATTAGGATCAAATTTCATAAAAGTTTCATGAAACTTCTTTTAAAAAAATTATCATAAAAGATGTAAATTTTTCTACCATGCTATACTAACTATTGGGAAGAATATGGTGAATATGGAGACTGCTGTACTTACTGAAAACAGACCGTAGTATCCATTAACTTTGTCAGGGTCTTGTGGAAAGCCATTCTTGCTTACACACACTTCAAACTGTTCACTGTAAGTGAAATAATTCAATTTGTTACTTTTTTATTTAAATGTTTCACTAAAATGCCCTGTATTTAAATAATTACTCTTTTATAACACTTACCTGCAAATCTTACAAACTTGTTAAATCCATTTTCCCTCCTATTATCTATCTACCTTAGGTTTTTCTTCGGCAACTTACTATCCTACAGTTCTCTTTAGACAGTAAAACCGTCCCTGATATTTTCAAATTCCAGAAAGTTGATTTCATTTTCAAAATACACAATAATTTTTCTCCATTCCTGTCTATACAATGTACATTCTCTAGTTTTTCCTTGCTTTTCCATCCAGAGATCTTGAGGAAATTCTTACCTTAAAAATAATGACTTATCCCCACACACCCCACCCCCACACACCCCAATCCCAAACACCCAACCCCTAAATTTACATAACTGCTCCACAAAAGGTTTCTTCCTTGATAAACAACTATTTCTTAGGTTTCTGACATAATTAGTTTGTGTTCCTTGGAATCTGACCAGTTCCATTTTTGTTCCTTTGTATTTGACAAGACAAATTTGTGTCCCTTGGTTTCTCACCTGATAAATTTCCGTTCTCTGGCATTGTACACAGACAGGTAGAGGACAGACTCCTCCATAATGGCACACTGTGATGACCGAAAGTTGACGAGAAGATGGTACATCCCCTCTCCCTTGCCATCCCCTCTCAAGTTCTGAGACTCACTGCTACTGCGTTTCTTTGGCTGTTGACAATAATTCATCATCTTATCTCCAGATAACAGAAGCTGATCAAGGCAAAAATCTGTACTACTGTGATTACTTGTAGACCACACAGTACCAAAATTACTTGTCTGCTTAGTGTGGAAAGAAAGACAGAAAAAAAGAAAGACAACTCAACATATCTGTGGTACTCTTGTGACAAGTCTGTGTTGTACAGACAAAAAGACAGACTGAAAGACAGGCAATAGGACAGACAACTTATAAAATCTGAGGTTGTACTGTGCAGACAACCTGACAGACAATTCATCAAATCTCAGGAGGTATTGTACAAGCATACTGACAGACTGAAAGATGGACAAACAGACAGAAGACTTACAAAATCTGAAGTTGTATTGTAAAGACAACAGACAAACAAATAGATGATTCAGCATATTTGAGGAGGTATTGTACAGACAGATTTAGAAACAAGACAACTCACTATATCTGAGGTAGTGTTGGAAGTGCTTTTTGAGTGGAGTCTGTAAAGCCCAGTCACACTGTTTTGTTCCGGATCAACTTGTTCTCCTTCAACTCGTGGCACAAAGTCCATACCCAGTTTTCTGAAACAGACAATATAACATTCATCGTTTTTCTTTTTTTTTTCTTTACCCACAAAATCTTACTTCCATTTTTCTTATTCCTTACACATCCAAATTTTACTAACATTGACATATCACAATAGTAAATAAGTGTTGCTGGTACTTACACAGCCACCCAGTCTATAAGTGTCGCTGGTACTTACACAGCCCCCCAGTCTATAAGTGTTGCTGATACTTACACAGCCCCCCCCCCCCAGTCTATAAGTGTCGCTGGTACTTACACAGCCCCCCAGTCTATAAGTGTCGCAGGTACTTACACAGCCCCCCAGTCTATAAGTGTCGCTGGTACTTACACAGCCCCCCAGTCTATAAATGTGGCTGGTACTTACACAGCCCCCCAGTCTGTAAGTGTGGCTGGTACTTACACAGCCCCCCAGTCTATAAATGTGGCTGGTACTTACACAGCCCCCCAGTCTATAAATGTGGCTGGTACTTACACAGCCCCCCAGTCTATAAGTGTCGCTTGTACTTACACAGCCCCCCCAGTCTATAAGTGTCGCTGGTACTTACACAGCCCCCCAGTCTATGAGTGTTGCGATCTCCTGGCGGAGATCCTTGGCTTGTTCATGTGACAAGGCAGCACTGATGAGCTTGCCTCGCAACGACACCAAGTGTAGCATAGCATTCCTGATTTCCTGAACTGTTACACTTAACTCTCCCTGAAAAAGATATTTAAAGCTATATGTATGTATATGTTAAAATCCAAAAACAAAACAGATTAACAGGCAAAATGGCATTTTTTCCAGTTTCCATTCATTCAACTTTTTCAGATTTAATGTCTCTAATTTTTAACAGGTCATACCCATTTCATAAAGAGGGACTTCCAAAGTGTGTACCACTCCCGTAGGACGTAGGTGACCTCCTTCACCATGGGATCCTCCAAAGGCGTAATTGTCTCTTGGGGACTAAAAATACAAAGAATTAGTAGAGTTATTGTTAACATTAAAAAGTTGTTGCAGTAATGCACAATATTTTTTTAGGTATGCCCCTAAGACAACCTATGTTTTTAGGTACATCCCTCAAACAACCTTTGGCTTTAGGTATGTTCCTAAGACAACCTATGTTTTTAGGTATACCCCTAAGACAACCTATGTTTTTAGGTATGCCCCTCAGACAAGCTATGTTTTTAGGTATGCCCCTAAGGCAACCTATGTTTTTAGGTACGCCCCTCAGACAACCTATGGCTTCAGGTATTCCCCTCAGACAACCTATGGCTTTAGGTATTCCTCTCAGACAACCTATGTTTTTAGGTACGCCCCTCAGACAACCTATGGCTTTAGGTATGCCCCTCAGACAACCTATGGCTTTAGGTACGCCCCTCAGACAACCTATGGCTTTAGGTATGCCCCTAAGACAACCTATGTTTTTAGGTATTCCCCTCAGACAACCTATGGCTTCAGGTATTCCTCTCAGACAACCTATGTTTTTAGGTATGCCCCTCAGACAACCTTTGTTTTTAGGTACGCCCCTCAGACAACATATGGCTTTAGGTATGCCCCTCAGACAACCTATGGCTTTAGGTATGCCCCTAAGACAACCTATGTTTTTAGGTATTCCCCTCAGACAACCTATGGCTTTAGGTATTCCTCTCAGACAACCTATGTTTTTAGGTATGCCCCTCAGACAAACTTTGTTTTCAGGTACGCCCCTCAGACAACCTATGTTTTTAGGTACGCCCCTCAGACAACCTATGGCTTTAGGTATTCCTCTCAGACAACCTATGGCTTTAGGTATGCCCCTCAGACAACCTTTGTTTTTAGGTACGCCCCTCAGACAACCTATGGCTTTAGGTATGCCCCTCAGATCGTGTCAATTTAATCGGAGCATACCTGCCAACTTTCCCGATTCAGTTGGGAGATTCCCCGAGTTTCACTCCCCAGCCCTGCCACCAGGATCAAAACTGGAATCTCTCGATATCAGAGATCCCGCTAGGTAGGTCATAAGTAACCTTGCTTTATTTGTTAAATTGGTAAGGCTGGCCACCTGGCCACATAACCAATACCTAGCTAGGAGAGTACACTGTCCAATTATCTAATTAGTGTCACCCCATTCAAATTAATCCTCTCTCACCGCCCCGCTGACCGCCCCGCTGACCACCCCACTGACCGCCCCGCTTGAGAGCACACTTGAACACAGCTGATTGTTCTGTACCTATTAAACAGTAGACCATTGGTCAGGACTCAGGACTGGGCCCAGGTAAATGGTCGGTTAAGATGAGGTCAATATACAGATAATTAAGTAGTTATTACCATTTAGTTATTCTCCAATGGAGAATGAATCGATTTTGAATGTACTAGGAAAGAGATGTACAATAAATAGCGGGCATGTCTATTGCCCTCCCTTTCTATGTGTGATTACAATAGAATGAAGGAAAATCCCTACACCAAACGCTACAACACAGAGAATGTAAAATGATCAGTTTTAGTAATTAATAGAAATAAATCACAAAATGATCTTTATCTAAGGTTCAAATCATTTCAATTAATGCATCGTTTATTCCAAAACTGGTGTTCCTCCAGTTCCTGTGTAGTATATAAGGTAGACAACTCTTATCATTAATTTGAACACTTAATGTGTGTATAGAATATGCATGTTCAATGTTAAGTTCATTATAAGCCCATATTGCATATAAAGTGAAGATTTTAGTGTTTTTGAATATCAAGGGGACTTCACTCCATTGCTTTATCTGATGTTTTGTATACCTCGTAAGGGAGACAACTTACCCTTCATTGTCAACCTCACATTCTTTGATGTGTATTAAGGCTGCTGGGAAAATCCCCTGTAAATAAATATAAATTTTTAATTCTGATTCTTTTTCATTTCCTTTATTTTATGACATCTAGAAATATATTTAGATTGTATATATTTTTTTTCAACATGATATCACAATACCCAAAATTTAAACCCCTATCCATGTACAGTTAAAAGATTAATCAAAATACATATTTAACCAAAGTTACAAGATTATTGTATTTAAGGTAATGTACATATCACAATATTCAAAATAATTATTATTAGATATCAACACATGGAAATATCATTACAATATCTAAAGAGATGAGAGGCAGACTTTAAAATTGTAATCATATTCATTAGAGGTTCTTCATGCTCTCACTTTCAAAACATTTTTCTTTCTACCAAGATTTATTCACAGTAATTGAACTTTAAAAGAAAAATCAAGAATGATATTTAATGGTGACAACCGTACTGAAATCTATGTAGTAAATAAACCTGGAGACCATGCATCACAGCTGATGTTGTGTGGGTATGTTTGAGATATATACAACCTCATTGACAGTAAAAAACACACCGTACCAGCTGTGAGTGGGACAAGGCCACTTATGGGACCTTGCATAATCAATGAAGTCTCATGTTAATGTCACACGATAAAAAAGTCCGGAAAAGCACTTGTAACATTGTGTAGGAGTAGATAATATCAGATAAGACCAGAATCAATATCTGGTCATGAAAGTTTCCAGACACTTGTTTAACAAAGCCATCTTGCCTTTCGCATCCTAGTTGTGACACCAGCCTAAACATGATGTCCTTCACATCCTAGTAAACACCAGCCTAAACCTGATGTCTTCCACATCCTAGTAAACACCAGCCTAAACCTGATGTCTTCCACATCCTAGTAAACACCAGCCTTAACCTGATGTCCTCCACATCCTAGTAAACACCAGCCTAAACCTGATGTCCTCCACATCCTAGTAAACACCAGCCTTAACCTGATGTCCTCCACATCCTAGTAAACACCAGCCTAAACCTGATGTCTTCCAACTCCTATTAAACACCAGCCTTAACCTGATGTCTTCCACATCCTAGTAAACACCAACCTAAACCTGATGTCCTCCACATCCTAGTAAACACCAGCCTAAACCTGATGTCCTCCACATCCTAGTAAACACCAGCCTAAACCTGATGTCCTCCACATCCTAGTAAACACCAGCCTAAACCTGATGTCCTCCACATCCTAGTAAACACCAGCCTAAACCTGATGTCCTCCACATCCTAGTAAACACCAGCCTAAACCTGATGTCCTCCACATCCTAGTAAACACCAGCCTAAACCTGATGTCTTCCTCATCCTAGTTAACACCAGCCTAAACCTGATGTCCTCCACATCTTAGTAAACACCAGCCTAAACCTGATGTCCTCCACATCCTAGTAAACACCAGCCTAAACCTGATGTCTTCCTCATCCTAGTTAACACCAGCCTAAACCTGATGTCCTTCACATCTTAGTAAACACCAGACTAAACCTGATGTCCTCCACATCCTAGTAAACACCAGCCTAAACCTGATGTCCTCCACATCCTAGTAAACACCAGCCTAAACCTGATGTCCTCCACATCCTAGTAAACACCAGCCTAAACCTGATGTCTTCCACATCCTAGTAAACACCAGCCTAAACCTGATGTCCTCCACATCTTAGTAAACACCAGCCTAAACCTGATGTCCTTCACATCCTAGTAAACACCAGCCTAAACCTGATGTCCTCCACATCCTAGCAAACACCAGCCGAAACCTGATGTCCTTCACATCCTAGTAAACACCAGCCTTAACCTGATGTCCTCCACATCCTAGTAAACACCAACCTAAACCTGATGTCCTCCACATCCTAGTAAACACCAGCCTAAACCTGATGTCCTCCACATCCTAGTAAACACCAGCCTAAACCTGATGTCCTCCACATCCTAGTAAACACCAGCCTTAACCTGATGTCCTCCACATCCTAGTAAACACCAGCCTAAACCTGATGTCCTCCACATCCTAGTAAACACCAGCCTAAACATGATGTCCTCCACATCCTAGTAAACACCAGCCTAAACCTGATGTCATTCGAATCCACATGTTATTATTCTATTCTAATTTTATAATTTGTTCATTCTGTTTTTTTAAAACCTCTTATTGAGATATTACAACACAAAAACATAAAACTATAAATACTCCTGCATATGTTGCTTCAAAAGTTCTTGTGTATAAAATCTTACTATGAAAACTCCAATACAGACCCTGATGATGACCCCAATACTGACCTTGATAATGACCCCAATACAGACCATGATGATGACCCCAATACAGACCCTGATGATGACCCCAATACAGACCCTGATGATGACCCTAATACTGACCCTGATGATGACCCCAATACAGACCCTGATGATGACCCCAATATTGACCCTGATGATGACCCCAATACTGACCCTGATGATGACCCCAATACTGACCATGATAATGACCTCTATGACAACCCCAATACTGACCCTGATGATGACCTCTATGACAACCAGAATACTGACCCTGATGATGACCCCTTACTGACCCTGGTGATGGCCCCAATACTTACTTCCATGCTACTTAACAGACAATGACCAAAATACTGATATATTTACGATCTCTATATTTAGTGGTGTAGAATGAAGAGACTTGGTAACTTGTAAATGTGGGTCAACACCAAACACATTCCTTTTACAACACTTTTTCTTTTATTATTTGTTGAATAATGTTCACTAGGTCAAGCGAGATAACACACTGCACACTGCCTAGCAAACTACAACTAAATCTAGTTCAACTTTATATTATCACACAAAGCAAATAATTAAACAAACACCAATAAAGCAGTTAATATTGCATACCATAGATAATTCCCACGTAATATCTTAGCATGAGATACAGTTTCTGGATTAATAGTGATATAAAGGTATCAAGCTTTCACCTGTATCAGCTCACATACACTGGCAAGCACCAAAAGCCACACAGTTAATCTCCCTATACAAACTACAGAAGAGCCTATGTCAGAATGTATATCAACACAAGTAACATAGCCTATGTCTGGATGTCTCTCTACACAAGTAACATAGCTTATATCTAAATGTCTCACCCTACACAAGTAACATAGCCTATGTCTGAATGTTTCTTCCTATACAAGTAACATAGCCTATATCTAAATGTCTCACCCTATACAAGTAACCCAGCCTATGTCTGATTGTCTCACCTTACACAAGTAACCCAGCCTATGTCTGAATGTCTCACCCTACACAAGTAACATAGCCTATGTCTGATTGTCTCACCTTACACAAGTAACCCAGCCTATGTCTGAATGTCTCACCCTACACAAGTAACATAGCCTATGTCTGATTGTCTCACCTTACACAAGTAACCCAGCCTATGTCTGAATGTCTCACCCTACACAAGTAACATAGCCTATGTCTGAATGTCTCACTCTATACAAGTAACATAGCCTATGTCTGATTGTCTCACCCTACACAAGTAACATAGCCTATGTCTGAATGTCTCACTCTATACAAGTAACATAGCCTATGTCTGAATGTCTCACTCTATACAAGTAACATAGCCTATATCTAAATGTCTCACCCTACACAAGTAACATAGCCTATATCTAAATGTCTCACCCTATACAAGTAACATAGCCTATATCTAAATGTCTCACCCTACACAAGTAACATAGCCTATATCTAAATGTCTCACCCTACACAAGTAACATAGCCTTTGTCTGAATGTCTCACTCTATACAAGTAACATAGCCTATGTCTGAATGTCCCCCACTATACAAGTAACATAGCCTATATCTAAATGTCTCACCCTACACAAGAAACACAGCCTATGTCTAAATGTCTCACCCTATACAAGTAACATAGCCTATGTCTGAATGTCCCCCACTATACAAGTAACATAGCCTATATCTAAATGTCTCACCCTACACAAGTAACATAGCCTTTGTCTGAATGTCTCACTCTATACAAGTAACATAGCCTATGTCTGAATGTCTCACTCTATACAAGTAACATAGCCTATATCTAAATGTCTCACCCTACACAAGTAACATAGCCTTTGTCTGAATGTCTCACCCTATTCAAGTAACATAGCCTATGTCTGAATGTCTCACTCTATACAAGTAACATAGCCTATATCTAAATGTCTCACCCTATACAAGTAACATAGCCTATGTCTGAATGTCTCACTCTATACAAGTAACATAGCCTATATCTAAATGTCTCACCCTACACAAGTAACACAGCCTTTGGCTAGTTGTCTCACCCTACACAAGTAACATAGCCTATGTCTGAATGTCTCACCCTATACAAGTAACATAGCCTATGTCTGAATGTCTCACTCTATACAAGTAACATAGCCTATATCTAAATGTCTCACCCTACACAAGAAACACAGCCTATGTCTAAATGTCTCACCCTATACAAGTAACATAGCCTATGTCTGAATGTCTCACTCTATACAAGTAACATAGCCTATGTCTGATTGTCTCACCCTACACAAGAAACACAGCCTATGTCTAAATGTCTCACCCTATACAAGTAACATAGCCTATGTCTGAATGTCTCAGTCTATACAAGTAACGTAGCCTATGTCTGAATGTCTCACCCTACACAAGTAACATAGCCTATGTCTAATTGTCTCACTCTATACAAGTAACATAGCCTATGTCTGAATGTCTCAGTCTATACAAGTAACGTAGCCTATGTCTGAATGTTACATAGCCTATGTCTGAATGTCCCCCACTATACAAGTAACATAGCCTATGTCTGAATGTCTCACCCTACACAAGTAACATAGCCTATGTCTGAATGTCCCCCACTATACAAGTAACATAGCCTATGTCTGAATGTCCCCCACTATACAAGTAACATAGCCTATGTCTGAATGTCTCACCCTATACTAGTATCATAGCCTATGTCTGAATGTCTCACTCTATACAAGTAACATAGCCTATGTCTGAATGTCCCCCACTATACAAGTAA